ATGGCCACTTCGGCCAGCCTTTCTTTCTTTACTAGTCTATTGGTTCAGAGGCGTATCTATTAGGTTGGCTCGAAAGTTCTGAGACATTTTAGACGAGATCTGCTATTTCTCGAAACTTAATGCATGTACATCCAACAGAGGTACCATTCGATAGAGGAAAGCAAGTTCTACAAGAAGGCATGCAAAAGTTTGCACCAGCTTCGACCCGTAAGTTTGCATCCAGAATCTGAGCAGTATTGAAGGCTCGGAAATTGAGAAAATTCATATTTTCGTTCATATGAGCCCTACGAATCTCCAAGTTGCTCATGCCGATTACGCACCAAATCACAAACCCATATATATCATTGCTGTATTCTTTCCTCATCTAGAAATCGAGAAAATGAAAGTTTTCATTTTTTATCAAAAACGAGGCTACGCTGTTCCCACTAATGCAGCTGAATAGAACAAGCCCTTAGAAGTATAACCGTAAATTTTCAGCTTTCTATGGGCCATAGTTTTCGAAAAATATTGATTTTAGCATAGAACGCCCAAATGAGGAGAGTTCATTTCTGTAATTTTCGGAAACTAGGGCTGTAGAAAACTGAAAATTTACTTATATTTCCAAGAATCTGTACTATACAATCACACGACTGGGGACAGCGTAGCTTCGTCTTTGTAAAAATATGAAAATTTACATTCTCTCGATTTCAAGATGAGAAAAAATACAGCAATGATACAAATGGGTTTCTGATGTAGTGTGTAATCTGTATGAGCAACTTGGAGATTCGTAGGATTTATATAAACGAAAAAAAGAATTTTTCCTAATTTTCGAGCCTTCAATACTACTTAGATTCGGGTGCAAATTTACGCTGGGTCGAAGCTGGTGCGAACTTTTGCATACCTTCTTGTACAGCTTGCTTTGCTCTATCGAACGGTACCTCTGTTGGATGTACATGCATCAAATTTCGAGAAATAGCAGATCTCTTCTAAAAATGTCCCAGTACTTTCGACCCAACCTAATAAATTGAACCTGTAAAACTTGCATCACCTTTTACTCTAAATATCATGCTGGGTTATGCTAATGCGATAGCAAAAAACGACATGATTACATAGGACAAAGTGACCTGTATCACCTTTACTCTCACATTTCTTTGAATGTAATCTGCAGAAACCTAAGCGCCTTCTACCCCTTTTCATTTGCTATCGTACAAGAAGCACTAAAGAAGTTTTGAAGTCACTTTGGGTCAATTCTTGACCCACGCTTTTCTCTGAAAAGTGTCGAAAGATTCAAGACATTCAATCCGTTTCATCAGCTTCATTCAATGTATACATTTTGAAAAATCCGCTTTTAGGATACTCTATCTTTTTCTTTTCATAACCTGAAAAGTAAACGTCAGTCCATAGTTTTTTTCCTCCAATGTTTGATCGTTGTTAAAGCAGCTTGTATTGTGAATAAACAAACAAATAGATATGCGTAACACCCTTTATCCTTTTTTTGTTCCTGTGTAAAAGCATTTACCCTAATTTCACACGTGTAAGGCGCGCTTTTTCGAATCTTCAATCGAGTTGCTCAGCCGAGTCACTGCATCCCGGCAAGAAATCTTTACATCGCACGATTCTCGCAAGCAATATACAGCACGTTATAGGGTCCTTTTGTTTTAAAGTCCTCTGGCGTATCTGGGCTGGTTGATTTTGGAAAAAAATCCCCCGCGCCTTATACGCGTGAAATTAGGGTAAATGCATTTGAGTAATGTATTTTTACTAGCATTTTCAGAGCAAATTTTTAGAATTTCTCTAAAATTTTTCATGACATCATCGTGGTCTAAGTGATTAAGCATGTCTGTAAAATCTGCGAGAACAATTTCATGTTTGGAATATTCAAATTAGAAAGAACGTAGCTGATGTTAGTATTAATTAATCAGAAACCTACACAATTTTCATTTCTCAGTTTGATAGCATTGACATCACCTGCATCACCTGTGTCCCCGTTGATCGTCGCTTGACACGAGCGGGATCCAGTGACGCCTCCATTCGTCCCTGTCGCGAACGATCGTTGACCAATGTCTTCTCATCGCACCAGGTACACGAGGGACGCTCTGAAGGATTGCGTTAAGGGACTTCCTGAACATGTCCGACCAGCGAATCGGAGGTCTTCCTATTCCGCGTTTGACGTCCAGCAGTGTCCAATCTGTTACAGCTCTAGTCCACCGATTGTCGTCAAAACGCATCACGTGTCCGGCTTATCTGATTTTATCCTGTTTGGCGTATGCGGCAGCATCCCTGATTTTCGATCGTTGACGTAGGGTAGAGCTTCGTATTCCTTCTCTTACTTGCGCGAGTCGGGACACTCTTAACATCGCTCTCTCAACAGCGCGATGACGCTCACCGCATGTTCGTCCTGCTTCCTCATGCCCACGTTTCCGAAGCGTACGTCAAAGCAGGCAGAACCGTCGTGTTGAAGAGATGGGCGCGGTGCAGGATGTTCTTGGTCTTCTTCACTACGTCCTCAATTGCCTTGTATGCTCCCCATTCTGCTCGTTTCCTCCTGCTCAGTTCCGGGGCTAGATTGTTCATCAAGTTGACTTCCCGACCTAGGTAAATGTAGTTAGAGTATTCGGCGATTGTCATTTCATTCAGCGTGAAAGGAGTATCAGAAACCCATCCGTTTCTCATGAACATCGTCTTCGTTAGATTTAGCCGCAGACCGGTCTTTGAACAGCGTTATCAAACTGAGCCAGCATTCGTTCCGCTTGCGTAATATTCGGTGTAGTTAGGACTATGTCATCAGCGAAGCGAAGGTGGTGTAGATGCCGGCCGTCGACTTTCACACCCATGTCATTCCACTCTAGTGTCCGCATGACGTTTTCGAGAGAAGCGCTAAAAATTTTTCAGCGATTTGGTATCGCCTTGCCGTAATCCTCTCTTCACGTCGATGGTCATGTCACTGTAGAATGGTGTGATCTCGGTTGTAAAGTCGTTGTACAGCTCACGAATCATCTTCTCAGACAATCGCTGGGGGCAGGCGGGCACCGGAAAAATAGAAAAATAGATTGCTGATTTTTCGCACCCCGCTCGCGGTTTTTTTGGAAAGCAATCAGGACTTCTCGGAAGACCGTTTGCTGAGTCAGCGGTATTTTGAGAGACCGCCTGTTGAATTTTTTTTCGCTCTTATCTTTTGCAGATATTTTGCTGAATCTCTGAGGAATCGAGAACTCAGCAAGCGGTCTTCCGAAAAGTCCTGATTGCTTTCCAAAAAATCCGCGAGCGGGGTGCGAGAGATCAGCAATCTATTTTTCCGGTGCCCGCCTGCCCCCGGCGATTGTCTGAGTTGATGTACTGAGTTGGAGTACCTTGACTGCTCAAGGCATCGATGACAGCCTCATCTCAACGGAATCGAATGCCTTTTTCAAGTCGATGAAGGTGAGACAGAGCGGCATCCTATACTCTCGCGATACTTCGATGAGCCTTGTTATCGTGTGTATGTGGTCCATAGTGCTAAATCCTTTCCGGAACCCAGCTTGCTCGCATGGTTGTCTTTCGTCTAATTCTCTTCCAATCCTGTTAACTCGTGTGAAGAGTTTGTAGACAGTAGACAATAAGCAGATAGGGCGATAATTTCCGATGTCGCGGGGGTCTCCCTTCTTGTACAGCAACACGGTCTTGCTGGTCTTCCTTGACTTGGAATCGTACCCTCCGTCAGGTACCGCGTGAAGAGCCTCGCCATGGTTCTAATAAGAATTGGTGGAAGATTCTTTAGGTGGTCCGGTTTGATCCTGTCTGGCCCGGCTGCTGTAGGCTTTTCATTGACATGATAGCATCATGTCATAGCATGTTAAAACTCTGAAGGAGGAACTGATGGCGCAACATATTCGTCCTCCTTGAGATGGCATGATAGTAGGTGGACGTGACTCGCAAAGAGATCCGAGTAAAATTCGTTGATGATTTTCTTCATCGATCTTCGGGAAGATGTCGTGGTTCCATCACAGCGGTGGAGTACGGTCATCTTGGTCTTGAAATTGATGATGCTTTGGCGGGGGATGCGTATACTTCTTCCGGCCTCCGCGGCGTCAACCATAACTTGTGCTCTTCTTTCTTTGAGATCTTCTTTTATCGCTTCTCTGCATTTTTTCGCGAGCTCAGACGTAAGTTGATAATTGCCTGATGCTCGTGCTCTTCCACGTTATTAGCTCTAGAGTCTCCGTTGACAGGCGCTCCCTGGTACTTAGCTCTCAGCTTCCTCAGCACAATCGTGAAGATGCTGGATAAATCTTTCATATTCCTCGTCGATGTTGTCGATCACGGTATCTCGCCAAAAGCCGGATATGGAAGAAAACAGGTCCCATTTGAGATAGTCGTTGGACGTGTTTCCTGAACTTGATGGCTCTTTCTTCATTCTGTGAGAAGTAAAACTTGGCACGAAGGAGACGATGGTCCGATCTCGTGTAGAGTTTCGGAACAACAGCGACGTCGGTCAGGCAATACCTTCTATTGACGATGATGTGATCAATCTCGTCCTGGTACTCTCCAAAGGGCAATTCTCAGGTCCAGCGTCGGGAAAAAGGCTTTTGAAACTGCGAGTTTCCATGGGTGGTTCTCGTCGTCATGATGAACTCGGATAGTTTCTCCTTTTGTTCGTTCCACTGTAGTCCATGGGTCCCGCAGGCGACCTTCTTGCTCCGATCTTTGCGTTGAAGTCACCGACGATGACCTTGTAGAAGGTGTGTTCTTCTCTGTAGAACTTCTCCAGGTCCATGTAAAAGGCCTCGACTTCATCTTCGTCGTAAATGTTGGGGCGTACGCTATGAAGACCGTCAAGGCTGGGATTGATCGACATCGTGATATCCTTGAACGTCCGATCCGGGTTGTGAGTTGTTCGAATGAATCGATGCTCACGGCCAAACTCGTATTGACAAGGACTCCTAAACCGCCGACTCCCTTGCGACATATCACCAAATAATGTTGCGAAAAGACAAACATATTATGAAATTGATAATAAATCCAAAAAGGTTCCATAGTATAACTCAACAAGAACGAAATAGGAAAAAAATGAAGTCCCACCTTTCTACCATCACCTTTGGCGGTGCAGCAACGCTCAGTTTGTTGATAAGTTTCGGAGAAACTTTAGCAGGAAACTCCAACTGATTTGCCCTGGCTGCTTCAGCGAAAGGTTTTCCATACTTGACTGCCAGTTGATCGCTTATGGTCTGCAAACAAACACAATAGTTGAAGCACTGAAAATAAGTTGGAGCGCTACCTTGAACTCCTGGATGTCATTGGCAAGTCTTGGAGCTGCCCACATAATGCTGACAACAGCTTCAGCAATACCATCATCAAGTGTTCTGAACAGAAATTATACTTCTGAGTTATATTGGACTAGACGTGTCTTACTTCATTTGTTCAATCAATCCAAATCTGGCGAGTAGAAGATCGCAATACATCTCCAGTATTTCGAATGCTTCAACCACGTAATCCTCGCGAATGATGTGCTCCACCCGTATTCGAGCCCGATCGGCCTTATTTGCTGTAAAAAAACAATGAGATTTAGCTCCGAAGCACAAACTGATTTGCTATTCAAGTGTTAGGCTAGAGGGATCTGCAGTGATCGGTTCTTAGCTAATTTTACGTTCGTGCATAGAGTATAAGTAGTAGTAGTAGAACCAGCCTCAGTTCTTACGAATAGATATTCAAATGCAATAGTAGTGCGTATTCTGCCAGCAAGGTATTACTAGTCATTCTTGATCCATTAAACGTTCAAAATACAAAATAAAGATAAATGAAATAAAATTAAGTATGCTTCTGCAAGTTTTCAGCTTTTTGGTTTCACGTCAAGTGCAAGCTATATAAGAAGTTAGTATAGTGTCTCTTATCTTTCTCAGAATTCATGTTTCAAATGATACAAGGTCTTCGGGGGTGTGATGCGGAAGGCGACAATCCCCAATTTCGTGCCTATCAGAAACTCTTTTGTGTCAAAGTGACAAGGCGGGGGACTACGGGGGTGGGGGCGGGGGCAGATGCATTGCTTGATGCCACAAGTAGAAATCCGTGAAAGTCATTGAGACGGATGATACACTGCCTCCATTTTGCGCCGATTGTTGCCTTCCGCGTGCCCCCAGTCTTCGGACAACACTAGATAATTATACAGGTTTATTATTGAGCAAAAAGGCGTTGTTTCATCAAAAGGTTTCCAGAGTTCGTTTACCCCAAATCATTTCAATGGTCTGATTTTAAAAAAATGCAGGTGTTTTTGTCATTCTGAGGCCTTTCCGTGGCCATGATTACGGATATGAAGTGCAAAATGCGCAAAACCTCCAACAACGGTTTCTGAAAGCCTTATACAGAAGGCACAGACGACTTTCACTACCATGGTAAAAGGAGCTAGATAGGGCGGGAGTGGCTTGATTTTTGCGAGTCTCAAGTCCACTTTTTTCATGGGGTCACGCCAGAGGGTCGAACCAACGCAGATGTCCTACTCTAGAGCTTTCTTGTAGACTGGGCTTTGAGGGCGGAGCTCACATTTTGCTTGGATGCTCCCTCCAAAAATTCGTCTTCAGAAAAGTTGTATGGCATGTACTTGATGTTGAGATTTTTATTTAAAACGACTTACAGCATCTGCATCTACCTCAGCATGTAGCTCTCTTTCATTCTACTACAAAAGTTACACTGGACCTAACATGAATGCGAAGAGTATTTCGTAAATAGTGTCGATTTCTTCTCTAGATGAAGTGTCCACCGGTTCAGTCGAGTAGGGGCCTATAGCTTTATTGATTTACTTACTCATAAATTATCACCAGAAATGCAACGCCAAGGTACGTCAGGATAAGAGGAAATGCGCAATTACATAGATAACGCTAAGCTTCGCCACAGCATTCAGCGACGAGAAACTAGCATCTCCTCCACCAAAATATGTAAATATGAGGCCAATCATGAAAATGTTCTAAAATAATTCTTGCACAGAAGAGAACAGACCCGACAGACTGATTCATGGATTTCGCCTTTGAAAGAAAGGGCATGTCGGCTCTGCCCATTTCCGCATTCCGAATAATTTTCAAGCTTGGGACAGTTTTGAACTCAGTGTACGAATGTAGCAGAAAAAACGTCATAAGGCTCTTACGATACAGTGCTTTTTGCAAAGAGCTTATCAAAGTGTTGAAGAACTGCTTCTGTAAATTATAAAATGCTTTTTGAATGAAGATAAAACATTTACCTTCTAGAAGAAATATGGATGAGCTGAGGCTCCTTCATACGAATTAAAAATTCTGGGGTAAAAGAAGAAAACAGCTCTATAACATGCTCTATGAAAGTTGAGAGACATTAACATTTCTTTGAACACAAAAACACCTCACAAGGGACCTGTTTTTAGGGAAAAAAAAGTTCATGAGGTCATTCAATGTGCATCTTCACATAACAGATGAAAGTTGAAAAAGTATCCTTTGGGAAATCTCATTGCAGGCCAATCACACATTCAAAGGGTATGCTCCCGTCATAGATATTTTATTCTGACTTCCACTTAGGAGAGCAACCAGAGTGACTACCTGAAAATTGGCGCACAAATCGGACCCTACCGTAAATTTGAGCAATTTTCTACAGATGTCATTTCAAGAAGGCTCCTGTAAGAAGTACTAAAGTGAGTAAATACACCTTTTGTTGGATTCATCCTCAAATCAGGTACAATATCGAGAGATAGATGCTCTAAACTACGCGACGCAGTTTTTCTTTCTCTTTATGACAGCTATAATTCGCCAGCTATATCGTTGTATAACAGTCGGAATAATAAGTTTTGAAATAGAAGCGTCTGCCGTTCAAATCCTATAGTTGCACACAGCTGTATCCAGAACTTCAGAATTATGATAAGCTTATTACTTTGCTAAGTTAAGGGATGAAGAGGGCCTTTTAGTGTAAGGATTCTGTAGGGTTTCATACATTGTGGATTTAACTCACTTCAAAAGCACTGAAAAGATTGTTTCGGAATACCTGAAAAGAGTTGCACTGATCAAAGGTTTGCTCTGTTTTTGTGGGTCGAATAGTCGCTGCAGAAGGCAGAAACGATAGGTTCAAAATTTTGAGATTTTTCCAGCATTTACGAGGTAGTCAGATGACATGACTGCAAAAAAGAGAAAGAAGGATGTGCGTTCAATACAGCTTAGAGTACTTGTCTACCACTATTCTAAACGATTTGCGGAAAGGTTGAGATGGAGAGTGAAAAGTTCTCATCGTCAGTAGTTTTGACCCAGCCTAGTATTTGGACATAAGCTCACACTGCAACAGTGCGTTGTCTGAAAAATGGAATGCTAGCCTCAAATAATTGATCAAGTCTTTGATTATATGAAATGGCTTTGTGTTTGAACATAAATAGCGAAAAGTTGTATGCAATACGACTTTTGCTAAGAGAAAAACGGTGAAATTTTGGAGAGGTGGTCATCGCGAAGATTACTTCCTTCTTAAAACTTTAAAAAGAGCCTCCAAAAGCAACATCATTACAAATGCTGTGTACTTAGCTTTGTCTGGACGAGCGAAAGCCACGAGAAAAGAAAAAGAGAAAAACCAACCGACAAGACTGATAAACCACGTCAAAAAAATCTAAGACTTACATGCTATGTATTCAGCAATCTCCGTACGTGCCTTCAATGCCATTTCCGTCTTCTTCTTGCCCATCACTTTCAAACGGTTGATTGCAAGTTGAAGATTTCTCTTCAACTTCGGATACTGAGCTCCCCAACTTGTTGACATTTTGCCTGGAATGAATAAATATTAGGAGAATCAAAGAAGAAACACATGCAAAATGTACGAGCAACGGAATACAAGACGAAAGCAACGGAAGCAACGAAATATTGGGATGAGGAAGTGACGAAATGAAATTGGCAAACTTCGCGCTGCATTTGCATAGGGCGCGCATTGTGATTGGAGCATATTTTCCAACCGATGAAGAGAACGGGAAATTTTCATATGGCTAGAAAACGCCGAAGAACAAACATTATGAATTCGTTTTTTCACTGTATGTAAACTTTTGAAGTGTAGATACAATTTATGTAAAAAATTATGAAAAATTATGTGAGCAAAGGGTCGGTGCCAGCTGAGCTGGCACCCAGCTGGCACGGTGCCAGCTAATTCAGAAAAAAGTTGGGCACAGCTCCCATTCACATAAGTTTTCATAGATTTTCAGGCTGTAGCTCGAGTCCCCCAACGCGCATGTACACACCAAATTTGGTGTCATATGATTGCGTTTTGTTTGTAAATAATGCTTTTGTTTTCGGCACAATTTGAATTCCCGCCGCTGGAATGCAGCCGGCATGTCGCCGCCGGCATGCCAGTTTCATGCCAGCGGCTAAATTTAGAATTAGCATGCCGCCTGCATTTTTGTCCTTACCTCGTTTGTTTTGCATATTTCTGCAGTCTTTTTAATCTTATGGAGCGGAATAAGCGGAAGTAGTGCGGAAGCAATCAAAACAAACTAAAAAGCGGTGGTGAAGTCATGATCGAAAGAAGAATTGTTGGAGGGTTTATTTAGATTGAAAGAAAGTTTAATGTGTGGCTTTTTTGGCCTCCTGACACCTGTGCATGTGAAAATGATTAACTCAGTTTTTCCGAGGACTTTGTAAACCCTCTGTTCGCATTGGTCTTTCAGTCTTCATGTACTTCATGCAGCTATCGCTTGCTTTTCTTTGTTTGCTATGTGCTACAACCATCTGCGGAGATCCCAAGATTTCTCCATGTGTGCCATTCATATCCGAAATAGCTAACGTGACCTTCCAAAACACGCCGGCGCTGCAGTTTTTGGAACTGCAAGTGCCAGAAAGTTGTAGAAAGGATCGCAAGGCTATGCAGAATATGGATTTCAGTGATTATGGCGTGGTTATCTTGGACACTAAATCGAGGAAGGTGTGTATGCTCAGATCCATAACTTCAACATGTCTTTGAAGTAAATATCTTTTGTAGAAAGGAGAAAGCGGGTCTTTCGAAATGAGAACTTTCATCAAATTTTCCAAGTCTCTTTGGCCCAAAGCCCAGCACGATGCGAATGCGCAGAGAGGTGGTCGAAAAATCGCAGATACATTCAAAGCGTTCTTTACTGTGGGAGGACCTAAAGCGCTTGCGCCGCCGTTGGAAGCCACTGACCGTGTTGGGGAAGCTATCGCTTGGGATATGTACAGTGGCGATGTAGGGCTCAAATGCGGATCTCTCTTGAATTGGCCAAATTGCGAGCACGAGGCTCCTCAGGTATCAACATAATTGGTGTATTGCCATTTTCAAATCAGTCTTTTAGGGACAGAGCACTCTGGACAGATTTTTAACTGATGCACCACCTGACTTCATCACGCTTTCTATACCAAGCGAGAAAGAACTACTGGATAGCCAAATAGTCATCGTCCTTTTGAAATTTGATCACAAGAAAAGAAAAGAGGAGGCAGAGTATTTTTCACCGGAGTTCAGCTATGTGCAATTCGACGCTAGAAGGAATAAGTACTTTGCTCCCGAGAAACTCCAGATAACAAGAGAGAAACAGGAATGGCTTTCCGCAAGGGCAAAGGATATTGTGGTCTTCACTACATCGATGTCTGAAAGTATAGCACTCCCACTGATTCGCTTAAAATACCTCTTCTCTCATTATGAGTCTCCCAAAATTCAAGTCTTATGTGCGGATTTTACATGGCTTAAAAAATGTGAATCCATTTCTCTTTGCCCTGACGGTCACTTTGCTGTGACGAAACAGACGCCAGGTACCGATAATATTTGCGATAATAACGATGAACGTATGCTGACCGCATCTTTCGAAGACATTTGCCGTCACGAAGAGCCAATGTCGCAAAATCAAGTGTCTAATGAAGATATGCCAATGGATATAGACGAAATGTATGAACCACATTTTGAAGCGGTCATGGATAGCGATGTCGACTTAGTGTCAACTTCAGATCAGGCAGCTGGACATCCTTCACTTCAGGCTTTTTGCAGAACTTTTACTCGTAAGCAAGATAAACAACAAATTACTTTGGAAAGAATCTTGAAAGCGGAAGAACGTTTGCAAGAAGGTGTATGTAGTCTAGATACAAGAATGAAACAAGTACAGAATGAAATGATCGTGCAAGAAGAACTGCGAAAAGCAGCTCTAAAGTACTCCACTCTACAACTAGAAAGAAAGTTTGGACTGGATGCAGACCATGAACTTGAAAAGAAACTCGAGCAGCTGAAAAGCATAGGAATCGAATTTACAGAGAAACAAAAAAGCTGGCTTCTGAATTTACCTTGGTTGCAACTAGTCCTAGACACATCGGATTTAACAAATTCATTTTTACGGTGCAAACTCTGCAGCAGAGAAGCTAAGCTGAGAGACGACGCATTATGGTTCCGCCACTATTCGACTGTTACGCCCTGTCCCGATGAGAAATGTGTGAATCTGATGGGAGCAGGAAGTGTTTTGTGTATCAAAAGAGTCTCAAATTATTATCGCGGCTGGGGTGCCGGTATCGTTCGCGCTGTCGGACGTCATCCGAATTCCAAAGAGCACGAAGACGGATTGAAGTCTTATCACATGGCGCTCGGAGCTCAGGAGCAGCAAAATCAGGATCTTGCGGTAAAAGCCACCGTAACGGCGACAGTGGGAGCCTACACTATAGCTAAGCAGGGTCTTCCCTTGACTTCGCAGTTTCCCCTGATGATGTTCGCATTGAGAGCGGGAGCCGTTGTTGGCAGTGCTCACTACGAAGCAACAACTGCGAAACGAATGATAAAAACTTTTGCAGTGCACATTGAATACGAACTGTTCAGCTACGTGATAGCAAATGATCTCCCATTTTCTATACTAATGGATGGATCATCATCCTCAAGAGGGACGAAGTGGATGGCGTATATGATCCGCACTGTAACTCTCTCATTTGAACCTACACTTTCCACCTTCTCCTCGCCGAAATATCACGCGAAACAGGTCAGATCATAACAGACGTGCTACTCTCACATCTCAACGAGCTGGACTCTTGGGTTACCTCTCCCGGTCTCAGGATCTCACCACATGAGCATGCTATGAAACGACTAATTGCTATTACAACTGATGGAGCGGCTACAATGACCGGTTGTGATGAAGGTGTTTTTGGTAGGCTCCAGAGACATATCCAATCGAAAAGCTCATCTCCAGTGAGAACAGAATTGCTCTTATCTGTGTGTGCTGCCCATCAACTGAATATTGCAATGAAAAATGCAAACCACATTGCTTATAAGCTTGCCAGAGCTCTTATAATGGAGATGCACACGATTTTCGGGACCTCACAGTCGTCCTCCGCAAGACGACATTACAAAGACATAGCACGTTTGATGTCGTTTCCAAATTTACAAATGGGCCAATTTTTCGCAATTAGATGGTCGGACAGCTTCAGTAAAGGGCTGAGTAACATCATTCGCATGTGGCCGGTATCAATCGAAAGCTTGGATAAGGTGGACAGTGACAGTAGCATTTCTGAAAATCTACGCATCAGAGCAAAATGCGCTTCCTGGGTGATGCGGGATGGACGCGTATTCCTTATGATGAAGCATGTCTTGAATGCTCTTCGTAAAGTCTCCTCTCTATCGCTGCTTTTCCAAAATACAGACAGTATGGCCATAGATGCAATAGAAGCTACTCGTGCTACTACACAGTCGCTTATAGACGGGTCACTGAAAAATGACCTACATCAAGAACTGATGGCATACAAATCTGTAATAAATGTTTATGATGGAAAACACCTAAAACGAGTGGATGAGCAATTTCTGATGAACTATTATGAAATATTAGAAAATAGTCAAGCAAGAAAATGGCGTCTTGTCTACCTTCCAGAAAGTTTCAAAGACTTCAAAAAGAAAGTTGACGTCGACTTTACAAACGAAGAGATAGAGGAGAGATCTAGACTGCTATCGTACAAAATCTTCACTACGTCAGAAGGATCATCAAGCGAGAGTGGCCTTGAAGACATAATAGATCTGGATTCCAGTAGCCTCCATTTCTATCAAGACAGCTCCCCTGATGTTAATTTCGACGTGCCTTTAAATTTTGGACTTGGATCTACCTTTCGCGACTTCTTGTTGCACCTAGGTGAAAAGACTATACAAAAGGAGGCTGAAGATTTGTATACCAACACCTATACATCTATTATCCGCAAATTTGGGGAGCAATTGATACCGGGTAACCTCTTTATTGCGGTAGATCGCCACATAATCCTTGACATCATAGATTTCGATGGCGATTTTAGAACGAATGGGATAATTACATACCCCCAAATGCTACTTTTTCCAACAGAGGGTATCCATTGTGCACTGGATTACGTAATGAGTACCATAAGTCTGTACGACGAGATTTGATGAATGAATCAATAAGACTCTTGGAAAAATATTGTGTCGTTTCCGCATTGAAAAAAGCTTTGTACTCTTTTTATTCCACTTTGCACGAGAAAGTGGAAAGTTTAGAACAGTGGCCGGAGGATTTAAGAAATGATAAGACTTTTAAGAGGATCTACAAAAAGCTGCTGGAATTCCAAGAAAAGCTTAACATGCCTGAGGAAGTTGAAATGGTAAGATTTACACAATTTGTAAAGGTCCTGTTCATAATGTATTGATGCAGGTGCTCAAATGCATTCTCGTCATTCCATCCAGCAATGCGGATTCAGAACGAACATTTTCCACAGCAAATCGTCTTACAGCTGGCGAAAGGAGCAGTCTTTCCACAAAAACAATTAATACTATGATGCAGTAAGATTTCTTTAATCATCTTTTCTTTTAATGTCACCAAAATTTACAGCATTCAAAGAAATGGTCCAAATCTCTTGACACTAGAACCATCTCAACTAGCCTATCAGTGGGTACACCCCCTGCCTGGCCTGGGTTTGAGGTCGGGTGTACACTTCACCAGAGGATCTTCCACGAACACAATGGCTTCTATTAAGAAAGCCTTCTATGCAAGTCAGCATTTTGCGTGAACCACATATACGTGACATTCGAATTGTGCACTCAACTCCATCAAAATAGGCCATTAATTTTGCAGAGAATCTGGGTGATGCTAATTCGCTACGCAATTTGATTGGACCGGCAATTGAAGTTGACATACTTCTGAACGTGTTTGGTGATCAGGCGATCAGGGCAACTCTTCATAGCAAAAGCGATATAGAAGACTTTCGGAAAGACTTGATAGCTGTGGAAAAAGACAAGGCGGCAATTTTCAGCATTGGGATAGTTAATGATGAAAACCAATAAATCTTTTACAGTCTCCTCACAAAAAAAAATACATATTAGCTATCATTTACTTAATTTGGGTCTTTTTCAACCTTCACACTCATCGGTAAGCTTTTTCGGAATTTTTTGGCCAGCATTGTTTTCAAGTGCTCGCACGTTTGACGCCATGACACCAGCACCAGCAAACAAGGACAGGTGCGAAGTTGATCTGCCTCCACTCTGGATTGATTCAAATGTTCCGGAATCGGACGTCGATTCTTCAGATTCTGATTTTGAACCGGATGATAAGCTACATTCGCATCATAAAAGTGACTCATTCGAGGTACGCTTTCAATTGAAACTACGCACTTTCACGCACGGTGACAACCCTGATTTCAGGAAGCTTTTGTTTGTGAAAAGGTGACGAAACGTGAATCGGAGAGTCCTACCCCCAACATGCTGGCGTACACCCAAACGGACACAAAGACCGCCGTCTCCACCGTCGCCGGAAGTGACTCCGTTCGATTTCAGCGTCCATGGGTATAGTGAATGGGAGCGTGAAGAGGCTTCACTTTACACATTAGTTGATGTTTTTACAATTTTTCTCAGAATGTAATTTGGTCGAACTCTCAAAGCAATAGAGCTTCTATCATCGATGTCAACACAGCTCATGTGTTAAACGAATTTGTCAAACAAGATTACTACATCCTAGTTCAGTAGGATGGAGCTTGATGTTTGCAAAGACATTCAATGCATAGGCTTTATTTAAAAAAGAGAAAGATACTATGATATCAATTTTTATTATACTGAAATGTCGATATATTCCCCTGCAATTTTTTCCGGGGCTCCGCCCCGGACCCCGGAAAAACGATATCCCCTTTGCTTTCGGCCCCAAAAACGATATCCAGCTTGACCCGGTGCCAGCTGTGCCGAGCCCTGTATTGAAGGCTCGGAAATTGAGAAAAATTCATGTTTTCGTTCATATGAGCCCTACGAATCTCCAAGTTGCTTATGCCGATTACGCACCAAATCACAAACCCATATATATCATTGCTGTATTCTTTCCTCATCTAGACGAGAAAATGAAAATTTTCATTTTTTATCAAAAACGAGGCTACGCTGTTCCCACTAATGCAGCTGAATAGAACAAGCCCTTAGAAGTATAACCGTAAATTTTCAGCTTTCTATGGGCCATAGTTTTCGAAAAATATTGATTTTAGCATAGAACGCCCAAATGAGGAGAGTTCATTTCTGTAATTTTCGGAAACTAGGGCTGTAGAAAACTGAAAATTTACTTATATTTCCAAGAATCTGTACTATACAATCACACGACTGGGGACAGCGTAGCTTCGTCTTTGTAAAAATATGAAAATTTACATTCTCTCGATTTCAAGATGAGAAAAAATACAGCAATGATACAAATGGGTTTCTGATGTAGTGTGTAATCTGTATGAGCAACTTGGAGATTCGTAGAATTTATATAAACGAAAAAAAGAATTTTTCCTAATTTTCGAGCCTTCAATACTACTTAGATTCGGGTGCAAATTTACGCTGGGTCGAAGCTGGTGCGAACTTTTGCATACCTTCTTGTACAGCTTGCTTTGCTCTATCGAACGGTACCTCTGTTGGATGTACATGCATCAAATTTCGAGAAATAGCAGATCTCTTCTAAAAATGTCCCAGTACTTTCGACCCAACCTAATAAATTGAACCTGTAAAACTTGCATCACATACTTTTACTCTAAATATCATGCTGGGTTATACTAATGCGATAGCAAAAAACGAAATGATTACATAGGACAAAGTGACCTGTATCACCTTTACTCTCACATTTCTTTGAATGTAATCTGCAGAAACCTAAGCGCCTTCTACCCCTTTTCATTTGCTATCGTACAAGAAGCACTAAAGAAGTTTTGAAGTCACTTTGGGTCAATTCTTGACCCACGCTTTTCTCTGAAAAGTGTCGAAAGATTCAAGACATTCAATCCGTTTCATCAGCTTCATTCAATGTATACATTTTGAAAAATCCGCTTTTAGGATACTCTATCTTTTTCTTTTCATAACCTGAAAAGTAAACGTCAGTCCATAGTTTTTTTCCTCCAATGTTTGATCGTTGTTAAAGCACCTTGTATTGTGAATAAACAAACAAATAGATATGCGTAACACCCTTTATCCTTTTTTTGTTCCTGTGTAAAAGCATTTACCCTAATTTCACACGTGTAAGGCGCGCTTTTTCGAATCTTCAATCGAGTTGCTCAGCCGAGTCACTGCATCCCGGCAAGAAATCTTTACATCGCACGATTCTCGCAAGCAATATACAGCACGTTATAGGGTCCTTTTGTTTTAAAGTCCTCTGGCGTATCTGGGCTGGTTGATTTTGGAAAAAAATCCTCCGCGCCTTATACGCGTGAAATTAGGGTAAATGCATTTGAGTAATGTATTTTTATTAGCATTTTCAGAGCAAATTTTTAGAATTTCTCTAAAATTTTTCATGACATCATCGTGGTCTAAGTGATTAAGCATGTCTGTAAAATCTGCGAGAACAATTTCATGTTTGGAATATTCAAATTAGAAAGAACGTAGCTGATGTTAGTATTAATTAATCAGAAACCTACACAATTTTCATTTCTCAGTTTGATAGCATTGACATCACCTGCATCACCTGTGTCCCCGTTGATCGTCGCTTGACACGAGCGGGATCCAGTGACGCCTCCATTCGTCCCTGTCGCGAACGATCGTTGACCAATGTCTTCTCATCGCACCAGGTACACGAGGGACGCTCTGAAGGATTGCGTTAAGGGACTTCCTGAACATGTCCGACCAGCGAATCGGAGGTCTTCCTATTCCGCGTTTGACGTCCAGCAGTGTCCAATCTGTTACAGCTCTAGTCCACCGATTGTCGTCAAAACGCATCACGTGTCCGGCTTATCTGATTTTATCCTGTTTGGCGTATGCGGCAGCATCCCTGATTTTCGATCGTTGACGTATGGTAGAGCTTCGTATTCCTTCTCTTACTTGCGCGAGTCGGGACACTCTTAACATCGCTCTCTCAACAGCGCGATGACGCTCACCGCATGTTCGTCCTGCTTCCTCATGCCCACGTTTCCGAAGCGTACGTCAAAGCAGGCAGAACCGTCGTGTTGAAGAGATGGGCGCGGTGCAGGATGTTCTTGGTCTTCTTCACTACGTCCCCAATTGCCTTGTATGCTCCCCATTCTGCTCGTTTCCTCCTGCTCAGTTCCGGGGTTAGATCGTTCATCAAGTTGACTTCCCGACCTAAGTAAATGTAGTTAGAGTATTCGGCGATCGTCATTTCATTCAGCGTGAAAGGAGTATCAGAAACCCATCCGTTTCTCATGAACATCGTCTTCGTTAGATTTAGCCGCAGACCGGTCTTTGAACAGCGTTATCAAACTGAGCCAGCATTCGTTCCGCTTGCGTAATATTCGGTGTAGTTAGGACTATGTCATCAGCGAAGCGAAGGTGGTGTAGATGCCGGCCGTCGACTTTCACACCCATGTCATTCCACTCTAGTGTCCGCATGACGTTTTCGAGAGAAGCGCTAAAAATTTTCAGCGATTTGGTATCGCCTTGCCGTAATCCTCTCTTCACGTCGATGGTCATGTCACTGTAGAATGGTGTGATCTCGGTTGTAAAGTCGTTGTACAGCTCACGAATCATCTTCTCAGACAATCGCTGGGGGCAGGCGGGCACCGGAAAAATAGAAAAATAGATTGCTGATTTTTCGCACCCCGCTCGCGGATTTTTTGGAAAGTAATCAGGACTTCTCGGAAGACCGTTTGCTGAGTCAGCGGTATTTTGAGAGACCGCCTGTTGGATTTTTTTTCGCTCTTATCTTTTGCAGATATTTTGCTGAATCTCTGAGGAATCGAGAACTCAGCAAGCGGTCTTCCGAAAAGTCCTGATTGCTTTCCAAAAAATCCGCGAGCGGGGTGCGAGAGATCAGCAATCTATTTTTCCGGTGCCCGCCTGCCCCCGGCGATTGTCTGAGTTGATGTACTGAGTTGGAGTACCTTGACTGCTCAGGGCATCGATGACAGCCTCATCTCAACGGAATCGAATGCCTTTTTCAAGTCGATGAAGGTGAGACAGAGCGGCATCCTATACTCTCGCGATACTTCGATGAGCCTTGTTATCGTGTGTATGTGGTCCATAGTGCTAAATCCTTTCCGGAACCCAGCTTGCTCGCATGGTTGTCTTTCGTCTAATTCTCTTCCAATCCTGTTAACTCGTGTGAAGAGTTTGTAGACAGTAGACAATAAGCAGATAGGGCGATAATTTCCGATGTCGCGGGGGTCTCCCTTCTTGTACAGCAACACGGTCTTGCTGGTCTTCCTTGACTTGGAATCGTGCCCTCCGTCAGGTACCGCGTGAAGAGCCTCGCCATGGTTCTAATAAGAATTGGTGGAAGATTCTTTAGGTGGTCCGGTTTGATCCTGTCTGGCCCGGCTGCTGTAGGCTTTTCATTGACATGATAGCATCATGTCATAGCATGTTGAAACTCTGAAGGAAGAACTGATGGCGCAACATGTTCGTCCTCCTTGAGATGGCATGATAGTAGGTGGACGTGACTCGCAAAGAGATCCGAGTAAAATTCGTTGATGATTTTCTTCATCGATCTTCGGGAAGATGTCGTGGTTCCATCACAGCGGTGGAGTACGGTCATCTTGGTCTTGAAATTGATGATGCTTTGGCGGGGGATGCGTATACTTCTTCCGGCCTCCGCGGCGTCAACCATAACTTGTGCTCTTCTTTCTTTGAGATCTTCTTTTATCGCTTCTCTGCATTTTTTCGCGAGCTCAGACGTAAGTTGATAATTGCCTGATGCTCGTGCTCTTCCACGTTATTAGCTCTAGAGTCTCCGTTGACAGGCGCTCCCTGGTACTTAGCTCTCAGCTTCCTCAGCACAATCGTGAAGATGCTGGATAAATCTTTCATATTCCTCGTCGATGTTGTCGATCACGGTATCTCGCCAAAAGCCGGATATGGAAGAAAACAGGTCCCAGTTGATGATAGTCGTT